AATCGGAAATTTTGCCATTTGAAATTAATTTAATTATAATAATTAATTTATTCAAACAAATTGCAGCATCTGTGTTATATCTTTCAATGTTCACTTGACTTAATTAGATTTAAGTGATCTGAATTAGCAATAATATTCTGTATAAACTAATGTTATGTTTGTTCATTTTTCTTTCTTCTTATTTTTTTTAAAACACCTCCCGAGGTTTGAATGACTATAATGGTCGTACCCCTTGCCACGACCGAATGTATGGTGGTGACCTTGTAACAGTGAGGCACAAAGAAAACTGATGTGTGAAGTATTATGTCACAACAAACGATTTCATTACAAACAGAAATTCTGCTTTATCTTCAGGAAATAAACCCAGACTATCACAGACTATCAGTTTCTATTAGCAATTTGATCAAATACAGAAAACGAAATTTTAACTTAAAAACAATTAGTCTGGCAAATTTTGCATGTCTGATTAACTTTCGCAGGTTAGGAAAAAAAAATATAATTTCGTTTATAGTTTGGTATAATAGCTTTTGAAAACGAACTTGAAAAGGTGTCCCATCTGTATAATAATACTGCCAGTTTTAATTTCATTTGACATGTTGACTTGATTTTGTTAATTGTTATATCATTTTACCGTTATTACTTCAATGGCAAATGATAAATCAAAAGAACACCTGAAGAGTTCACAATACTAACGCCTCTGTTTCTTTAAATACCCAAAGGGTTCAAATGTTGTTCAACTTCTGACTGACTTAATTGTGTTTTCGTATAAAATACACTTCACACAAGACTGTTGCAGAAAAGGGAAAATAAGTTGGCTCTACGCTTTGTTATATAGATGTTATCCCGTCTTAAAATAAGTTTTGAGATAATTAACATACATCTTATCTAGGCTTAAGTTAAAGTTGTCTAGATCATTACGATGCTTCAAATCATATCAATCAGTCCTATAGCCACAAACTGTATGTTAAAAATGTTATTATTTCAATTTCCAAATATCAAAATTCACATTTATAAAATATAAATATATTGTTACTTATGTTTATATTTTATTATTTATTCTCTATATTCAGAAGAAAAATGGTTTCAATGACAGAACACAGTCACTGTCTTACTCTGTTGAATTCAGACCATGTTGGTCACCACAAAAGACATTATTAGTTGGTTTTCCACTTCATTAGGTCAGTCGGTGCAAAAAAGAGTAATTCCCGTACCTTAAACGTGATTTATGGTATAAATGTGTTTACAAGTTTCATTTGTTCGTTATTGTATATGATTAAATAAGGCTACTGAAAGCCACCCATATTCCAGTCGGTCATGTACCGGTATATAGCAGCATATATTCATAATTTATTGAAATGCCATCGTAGTACGCATGTAATATTTGCTGCAGGACATTTAGCATGAAGCAATCTTAATGATTTTCTTTTGTCATCTTGACTTTGTTTTGATATCAGATCTTTAACAGACAATTGGAGCTTGATATACACTTATCTATCGCTAAAGATGTGTTGACCTCTGCATAAACGTCTTTTGGATTTTGTTTCTTTGGGTGTTGTTTCGCTGACGCTTATCAAATATTTTTTTAATTATGTTGAGTATTTAAGATTATTACGGCCTAGAAGACCGGCAACATGCTTATGTACACGGAAGCAACCAAAAATCCCGAAACCCTGAGACATTTCGTGTTTCTTAACGAAATGTAGTGTTATAAAGCACCAAAAAGTAAAATGTGATATGTAGGATATAAACAATAGGTTTTATGATTAAAGCTTAAGAACAAGCGCATGTATCCCCTATTTTTTTCTATGGTAGTGCACTGATGCAAGAACGGTTAATAAAAAAATATAAAAAAAAATCAATGACAAGTTCTTTCTATATGCGTTTGCAGCGACAAGACAGCTGTCTACCGCTTTGTATTACAATAACAAAATCAAATTTTGGAACTTATATTTTATCGGAATCATTTGGCAATCCTTCCAATCTTCCACTTCTTTACGTAAATCTCTCCAGCGTTGGAGCACACTCATCTAGCTGTGTTCCCTTATTGGATCATTTTTAAAAATGTTAATGTATTCATATGCACATAGAAGTTAAAATGTTGAAAGGAAATCCTCCAATGAAACGTTGCACATGCACAATTTTTTTTACAGGAATGTTAATATTATATACAGGAAGCACTCATAGTACGTTTGCCAGTATGTAGATTTGATATTAAATGTCTAGCTAAATAAAATCTATGAACGGTCGGCACTGATTTAAAGTAGTGTCTCCTCCGTGACAGTCGAACATTAAAACTCAATATTAAATAAGACACTGCTATTTTTCAGTGTTTGGTACAGGTTGGCTGTCACTGTACACAACAGTTCAACATAGAACCCTATGGGGAAAACCAGAGAACTCTTTTTTGCCAGAAAACACTGTCAAACATCCAAACATATACTATCCACACTGATCTGTGTCCACACTTGTATTACAATAAATATATAATTTCTCATTTATTTTTGTTGATTTATCCCTCTTCAATGTATAGCAACTTAGTAATACTTTAATACTTATAAACTTGGAAAAACTTTACATAAATCTAGATGATTTTCCCCCCGTTAGAACTTGTATTAATTTTCAGAAAAATATTGAAATTAGAAATGTTATGGTTTTATCTCAAACATATCAAAATCCAACTGAGATATCTCAAAAGACAAGCCATGGAGGTAGCTTTGTTCTTTTTCATAAATCGAGAGTGCATATCAAAATTAACTATGTCATTTCAAGGAAGGTTAACGTATAAGATATTTCCTGCATCGTACTGTATCTTCTGCACCATGACCGCTGTTTTTCAACTTTAATCTACTTCTGTGTTGTTGTCACTTTGTACTGCGACTTTAGACTGAAGTAACAACTGCTGTAGTGTTACAACGGAAGTATATATATATATATATATATATATATAAGTCTGAAAATTACACCCAACAGTGTTAGAATTAGACTTTTATGCTGACAATTTTTTGTCCCTCAACGGGATTCGAACTCACACCTTTGATACACTACAGAACCAATCGCTTAGCCTCATGTCCAGCGCTCTAGACCACACGACCACATCCGCTATATAAAAATATAACTTCAATAGTCGTAGTGTTACCTTGTCACGTAAGGCGAATCTAGAGATAGACATAAGACATGTGTTTTAAGCATGTGAAGATGTTATATTAATTTTTAATACACAATGTATTTGTTGTTTGTCAGCAATCTAACTCAACAATTTTTATATACATATATATATATATATATATACAAGTCTAAATTGAAAACAACGTTCAAACCTATGATTGCGTTGGATAAAAACCGCAATTTTTATACGTGTGCATGCAAAACAAATTTCTTGGTAGAGGGGTCTAAACAACATTTTCCAAAAGACCAAAAAAGTGAAAAAGTATATTTTAACAAAACGCATTTGACTAACATGTCGAACAACAAATGTTCTTAAACCCTGCTGACTGCTATTGGCGATTGCCAAATAAACGGATCACCGATGTAATAAATGGATCTTAATATTATATATAACAAGTCTAAAAGGGTACAACAGATATCTGTTATCCGAAATATTTAACATTTGTTCATTTTATTATTTTTTTTTTTTGGTGATGTTGTACCCTTTTAGACTTGTTATTATATTTTGTAGTGTACTGTATCATAATTATATGATCCATCGCCCCGTAAGATTTATCTATTATTCATATATATTAGAGTTGTCACTGGTTCAGACGTACTTATAATATAATTATTTCTGTGACTGCATCCTACATTAATTTGTAAGATCCTCTACGATAGATAATTCAGCTGATCTGTAATATTCCATCTTCATGCCTTATATATCATGTACTGTGTTACGACGCTAGATAAAACAGACGAGGAAAGGTAACACCTGGCCACCGAAAGCTTGATTTTTGTCGGGCCTAGGTGGTCGAGTGGTCTAGCGCGTCGGGCATAGTGCAAGGCGATTTGGTGCCACGATATCTCAGTAGTATGAGTTCGAATCCCGGCCAGGTAAGAACAAAAAATTTGCTTCCGCAAATTTACAGATCTAACATTGTTGGGCTGTTATTTAGACGAATCATGTATACAAAATGTGTTTTCAGCCTTGTATCACCATCACTGGTGATCCGATGGATAAAATCTGTCGTAGAGTTGTCACTGGTTCAGACGTACTTATATATGTTCACAACTGATTGATTTTTGGTGGGGGAAGACGGTGTGTCCGGAGAGAACCACAGACCTTCGATAGGAAAACTGATAATCATAATCAAGACTGGGGTCGAACGCACTTGCCACGTGCGGGGATGGAACTTACAACCTCGGTGTTGACAGGCTAGTGATACAGTAGTTGAACTACTTCGACCACTCGGCCACCTAGGCCCTTGTTAAGAACTGAATACAAGTAGAAGGTATTAACGAATCTATTTTTTTTAGCAAACATTCAAGTAAAATTAGGTTTCAAATATGAGAAATACAGATGCACCTAAACACATCTTTAACAGAGTTATATCGAACAAGTTTCTAACCTCCGGACCTTCTAGACCTGGATGGCTTCAATTTTCGATTCATCGCATCATTAATTTTTTCGAGTTAAAACCATGCTAATCTATTCTGCAAGTAAACAGCTGGTGTATTTGTTGCTGTTACAGAATACCATAACACATGAATGCTTCTTTGTTATGGATATAACTTTGGGCATTTATTTCAATTTTTGTTCAAAACCTAATTTCAAATTTAGAAGATATCTTATATTATCCCATATGTGATCCGCCCACATTTTGATATAAACAATGAATAAAAATCAAAGAAACTTTCAAATGTAATTCAAATGTCTTACGAAATTTGTCTTAAAAATTCAAATATTCATTCTATTTTAATCCATGTGTGACAATCCCACTTCAACTGTGTATACATATAAATTGATTATAAAATACTCGGCGATTTTATCAGTTAAAGAAGAGAAAAGTACATTTGGTATTTTTGTTCTTTAATTGAAAAGGAGACTTAATCTCAATGTAAATGGAATAAATAAGGAACATAAAGACACATAACAACGATCACAGTTTCTCAAAAGAACGTACCGACACATGACAACAATCACAGTTTCCCAAAAAAAAACGTGTTGACACATGACAACAATCACTATTTCTTCAAAGAACGTAGTGACAAATCATAACGATCACAGTTACTTCAAAGAACGTTGTGACAAATCATAACGATCACAGTTACTTCAAAGAACGTAGTGACAAATCATAACGATCACAGTTACTTCAAAGAACGTAGTGATATATCATAACGATCACAGTTACTTCAAAGAACGTAGTGACAAATCATAACGATCACAGTTACTTCAAAGAACATAGTGACAAATCATAAAGATCACAGTTACTTCAAAGAACGTAGTGACAAATCATAACGATCACAGTTACTTCAAAGAACGTAGTGACAAATCATAACGATCACAGTTACCTCAAAGAACGTATTGACAAATCATAAAGATCACAATTACTTCTAACGAACGTACTGAAACATAATAACGATCACAGATTCTCAAATCTTAAGCTCAGTGTTTCAGGGTCGGTCTAATTGTCTGAATCGTTTGTAACTCGGAACATCGCATTCACAACCATATTCTATAAAAATGTACAACACTAATTTCTTGACGGACACCAAACTGAAACTCGATTTTATAAATAGCGATTCATATTGAACATAGATATGTATCACAGACTAGGATTCGCACCCGCATTCATTCTTATACGAAATATGCCATTTGTTCTAATAAATAAGCATGTTTCATCCAAATTCCTTGTAGCTGTCAAGTTTATATTTCTCTGTTGTGACCATCATATTAGGAAATATGGTATAACCTCCATAGATTTTTGCTGAAAATATAAAAGGCACGTGTAAATATTTTTTTTGAAAGTTTTCTTTTAAGAGGACGACAAAAAAAAAAACCATAAAAAAGGGAAAAAAAACCAACAGATGAGAGAATAGAAAAAATATCAAAACTGAATCTGGATTCTACATAAGCATTGATGCTAACATTGCAGAAGCTTTCTCTTTTGAATTCCTTTTGAAAAAATATGCAATTTTCTTTCCTCGAAATATTGATTGATTTATCTGGTTTGTATTTTACATTTTTTGTAATCTTAAATATCGTAAATTTAATGTAGCTGCATACATCAAATACAAAAGATTACGATGAAAACACTTAATTTTATTCAAACGATAACCCGTATGTAGTCTACCTCGAAGAATATCTCAGTCTTGCATGCGGTAGTAATTTTATTATAAAAACTATATAAATAAACAGAATTTCATACGGAAGAAACTCGTCGTTAAGGGTACTCTATAAATACAGTAAAGTGATACAAGAAAGTGAGTTAAAAAACATATCAGTAAAATAAACAGTGTCACTCACATTTAAATTGTTTAAAGTGTGAAACTTTTTTGTGTTTTTTGTGATGACCTTTCTTTCTTCTTTGTTTTCGTCGTCTTCGTAAAAGTCGTTTTAAATGTCTTTTACAACCTTTACAGCCGTGCCGTTTCTCTGAAAGTATAAATATTTGTTTAGTAAAGTATTTGTTTGTTGACGACATACATGAAAACGTTAATTTAGGTTAAAAGTTTTTCTTTTGGAAACCTGTGTACTGCTAAGATGATCTTCATCATGAATGTTCATGTGCCTCAAGAAAGTAAACATCTAAATGCATATGGTTAAAGATTATCACAACAATTTGTCTTTTCACTGTCGATATTTCTCTGAAGTGATTTACAGCATGGCGGAGGTTACCAGCAACTAATTGCTCTACTTTTGTGGAACCTGATCAGACTAACTTTTATTTGTGTTGACTTCGGATGCAGCCACGGGTGGTATTGTAGAAATCACAAAAGCACTACGGTGTTGATTAAACGAGTTAAATCATTGTCAGTCGTTGTATTATATGAAGTTATCTTTGGTGTGGCCTCAACTCACTTGGGAAATCGGTTTCATACGCGTGTTAAAATTCTCGGAAGAGATATATAACACGTAAAAGCAATTCAAAGTTTAAGACCGCCGCTTTTTAAGTCTATCTTCTTTTCTATATCATTTCGATTTTCTCGCACATAACAATTCCAATATTAAAACTTACTAGCTAATAGGGTAGAAAAAAGCGTTTCGATAAACGTACTTTTTGAGAGCATTTGATGTCACTGCTAGTGCGGAAACGATAACAAATACAGTTTTCCTAGTTATAAAGGGGCATAACTCTAAAACGGTAAGTGACTCACTGCCCAAATACGAACTCTGTTTGCGAGTTTTGGTTTTTAGCATTGTGTATGAGATTCATAAATTTTGCATGAGGCAAACTTAAGTTAAGAGTGCGGAAACGAAAAATTTACTACAGATAAATGATGATTAAGAGGGAATAAACAATTAATATCCTGGCGGGAGGCAAACAATACGTCAAGTTCGGTAAGGGTCAAAATCCGCTAAACAACGTATAGTATTTTGGAAATATGTGTATAAAGATTACATAATTTTGAATTAGTTTATTGTTTATAACGATGCAAATTTTGCGGTGATGAACTCTAATTTAGTTTTGTTTTATTTATGATCGTTGATTAATAAGATATATTACATGTAAAAGTAATTCAAAGTTTATCTATTTTGGTAGAATTTGCCTTCCTGGGAAGGAACAACTTTAGTACTCTTAAAAGGGTGTGCATTCACTCAAATACTTCAATAGTATTCATCAATACTAGAAATAATTGATTCGAAAGGAAATCCATATATATATATAAGTAAGTATATATATAATCAGATCGTGATGTGTGGTATGTATACTCATGCTTGGCATTAATTTATTTAAAATCCAATTATATCAACGTGAACTCTTGTCTTAAGTGTTAGAAAATAAACAGTAAATGTATTCGATGCTGTATTATAACATACATAATTATACATCACTTGACATAATCATGTTTCTCCGTGCTTTATGTGTATATTCTTTCGCGTTTGCAGTTATGGCGTATTCTTTTCTAATGTGTACTAACTTCTCTTTTTCTCCTTTGTTCTGTATATAACAATAAGGAGATGTGGTATGATTGCCAATGAGACAACTAGTATATACTAGAGACTAAATGACGTCGATGTAAGCAAATATAGGTCATCGTACGGCCGTTAACAATTAGCAAAAATTATTCCGCATAGAAAGCTATAAAAGGCATGACAAAATGTGAAAAAATTAAAACGAGAAAACCAACAAATATAGCAGACAGCAACCAATGACAACCACTGAATAACAGGCTTAAGACAGGTACTCATAGAGTGTGGCGAGGTTAATCATGCTTGTGAGCGCTCCTCCCAGATAACCCGAGGCAGTGGTGTAACAGAACAACATAAGAACAAACTGTAAAAATCAGTTGGCAAAAGCTTGACTCATCAGATCGGTACGAAGCACAAAAAACAAAAAGACGAATTACACAAAGCACCGATCTAAGAGTACTCGAAGTTACTGATAGCTAGTTCAAGGTCAAATACAAATTGTGAATAAATCGTGTTTCTAAGACCAAAAACGGCAACCAGTACACATAAAAGTATGCTTATCGAAATTGTTAAAACTCATGTAAGCTACCAGGCTTATTATATGTTACTCCAAATGTGCGTTTTGTTTGAGACTCATCAGGTGCACTCGACTACAAACAGTTTGCAAAACCAGGCTTATTATATGTTACTCCAAACGTGCGTTTTGTTTGAGACTCATCAGGTGCACTCGACTACAAACAGTTTGCAAAACAATCAGAATTATTTGCTCTAATCATAAATTATTTCCTTTCAAGATATCTAACACATATATTGATTTGACCGTGGTTGTCAAAATGGTTGTATTGTTTGTATATCTTAAAATGTGATTGTCGGGCAAATCATGACAGTATTTGTCAGAACACTTTGCCAGTTGGAATTAGTTGATATTAGGCAACATTTGTGTTCTCCCATGCACATATATATTGTAATAGGGATCCAACAAAAAATGTTCTTCAAACACTTGAATATACCGTCTTGATCATGCAGTGGGATATGAGTTTTGCACCTTGCTTAAGGACTCAATGTGAATTTTAAATAAAGAACAGCGATATAATATAAAAAAGAAGATGCGGTATGATTGCCAATGAGACAACTCTCCACAAGAGACCAAATGACACAGAAATAAACAACTATAGGTCACCGTACGGCCTTCAACAATGAGCAAAGCCCATACCGCACAGTCAGCTTTAAAAGGCCCCGAAATGACAATGTAAAACAATTCAAACGAGAAAACTAACGGCCTAATTTATGTACAAAAAATGAACGAAAAACAAATATGTAACACATAAACAAACGACAACCACTGAATTACAGGCTCCTGACTTGGGACAGGCACATACATACAGAATGTGGCGGGTTTAAACATGCTAGCGGGATCCCAACCCTCCCCCTAACCTGGGACAGTGGTGTAACAGTACAACATAAGAACGAACTATAAAAATCAGTTGAAAGAGGCTTAACTCATCAGATGGATAAAAATACAAATACAACAAGTACAAGTGGACGTGGCCGGGTACTTGTACATCCAAACCACAAAAAGACACTGAGTACAGATCTTAGAGTACTCGCAGTTACTGACAGCTAGTTCAAAGCCACTAACAACTAATAAAAAAATCATGCATCTAAGACTAAATTATCAATCCGTACACATCCAACATCCAATGGATTTAGTGTAAAGATATAAGAATGTTACTTTGGCTTAGGGTTAGATCAAGTACGTGTATAGATTTTGTGTCACGAATAGATCCATATTATAGAAAAACAAAGGATATGGGGTATCCATCCATGACCCAAAATCAGTACATGAAAAGCAAAGGAACAGCGCTTTTATTGCTGTTCTTCATCTCAAAGTCACAGTGAGGATTTAGCAGGAGTTAGTCCGTTTCCCTATTGCCGAAGACCACAGCTATAACCAGAAAACATCAGAAATTGTACTAGTTTTGTGTGAATTCATTCATCTCCCTTTACCAGTGCAAATCCCTTGTCAGAACAATTACTACTTACTATGACAACGGCCACTGTATTTTGTTTGTATAAGTACTCTCATTTCACAGGACTTTTTCCTCATGGTACAGTAATTTTTGTATGATATTCCGTCCGTACCACATACGGGTACTACGGATAAAGGTGAACACTGAGGTCTACAGTTTGTACATATAGGTTGTTTCGTTACTGGGTTGACCAGGCACTCCATGAAATATGGACATCGAATAGAAGGACATGTTGCATTTACTGAAAAAAAAACAATAGTTGTACAATTTTAAAGTCATTGTACAACATAATTGTTTATAGAACCAAAATCAAAAAGTTTTCTTCATAAAAAAAAAACGAAAAAATACTATCATAATGATTTAAATAAAGATATCAAGTAAGTTTTTTCTTTAAGTTTTAAATGCACATTTTATTTTTTTTCATTCATTTTTTTTGTACAGAAATCAAGCTGATGGTTTTCGATTTTGAATTGTTTAACATTTGTCATGTCGGGGCCTTTAACAGTTAACTATACGGTATGGGTTATGCTCATTGTTGAATGCTGTATGATGACCTAGAGTTGCTTACAGTATACATCATCGTCATTTGGTCTCTGATGGATATTTGTCTTATTGTTATTATTATTATTATACCACATCTTCTTATGTTTATATGATAGACTAATATGAAAATTTGCAAATCCACACCAAACCAATATTTCCATCGTTCGCGCTAAATGTTAGTAGTAAAAAAAGCACTGCTGAAATATATCAGGGAAAAGTGGAGATCATAGTGACTGAATTACACATTGAGGAATCCTCCTAGTACCTCTTTTCTTTCGATAAACTTATACGGAAATGATGTCCTCTTTTAATACCTCAAGACAACTGTTTAACAACCCGTCAAGCACGACAAATTGATATTCATAATTTTATATTAGAGTGTTTACTATCATTTGAATCGTTGAGATATTTAAATTTCGATATCGTTTTTTAACCTCATAAAAAATTATGGAACTTTACGAAAATATATATTTGTATTTATTTTCTATTACTTCCCTTAATTTTCAATTAAAACAACAGTTGTGTGCAGATTTTAAACATGTGTTTTATTTAACAATCCCCTGGTGATTATAATTACATCTAATCCGTCATTATCAATATAAGGGGTGTGGTTTGATTGCCAATGAGACAACAGTTACTATACACCACAGTCCGAATTATGGGATGACTGTATGCAACTATAGGTCGCCGTACAGGTTAATAAGCTTGGCTCTCACTTTGTCTGCGTTTTTTTATTAAGTACTTGTGAACATAACATATCAATATATGAGATAGAAATCGACCGTATGCAAGTGCACGTATACATGTACATGTATAAGACTTTGATTGATTTTGAAACATTCAAATACGACATAAAGGATGAATTTTGGTCCGTTTTTGTATAGGGTTCTTATAACAACTCAATTTTCAAACAGTTACAGACTTTCCGTAAAGATTTTTTCAACCAAAAATTGATTGATATTTATTTACATAAGGTCGATTTCTATCCGACGCAGCTCATATCATAAATATAAACAAATATACTCCATCTTCTGCAATATAAGATAAGAAGTTATAAGGTGTAAGCTGAGAGGCGTCATGAGCCAACAATATAGGCAACAGACGTTTACTGATGTTCAAATCTCATAAATCGATTAAGAAGTAACAAAAAAACTGAGGGAATAGCATAAGACCCAAAAAGAGCAGGACCGGGTTGACAGGGCAAAATCTTCTATGCATGCATAACACACAATGCGTATCAACACTCAAGTCAAAAAGTCTCAATCGGGAATAAAACAATCTGTAAAACTACAGATCAGACGACTCTCTGGTATCTAAAGATATAAGACCACAGAAGTATGTCGCTAGTGAGTTGGGACAATGACACATCGTATCGGTCAACCAATTCGTGAAGGTGACCGTAAAACTCATAAAGTGTCAATATCAGTCGTTCTTCCTCTTAACTCTGTTAAAGCAGTTTTAATTTAAGGAGAACAGCCCCTGTTAATGAAGTCCGTAAATGCAGGAGTGTAACGTATCAATTGAAATATGTAAACACCTTATGATGGAGCCGAGGGTATGTTATTTCTAAGAAATGGGAAGTTGACAATTAAAGTTGAAATGATCAAGTTTGGCACATATTCTAGTTTGAAGTCGCCCATCTGTGTCAAAATCAGGGTATGAAGCATACCTTCTAGTTTCAGTAGTATCCTTTATTTCAATTTTACTGGGATATATAGGGTGCAAGCCCTCCTTGAAATGAGTGACAGGACGTAATCAATATCAACTTCCGAAGCAAGGTGGGCGGCTCTCCGAACTTTCCCGAAGTCCTGCCGCGTTTATGAGCTTCGGTCCTTGCTTGGCAGTTACATCAATATATCTGAAAATGAAACAAGTTAAAGAACTTTGCAACAATAATTTTTTTTTTTTTTAGAAAGTTCTGTATGAATTCTGCTTCATATGAGTAAAAATATAAGCCGGTCAGTATAGGGATGCACATTTGATACCCATTGGAATACCAACTGTCTCAAGAAAATAAATTAATCCACTCTTCACGCTATGCAATAAGTTAAGGAGATGTGTCACGATCAGATATGAAACTAATCCGATAATATCAGAGTGGTAGCAGCGGACTTCTGGGCCGAACAACATATAACTATTACCTTTGCATGGACCTGGATATGCTATTTGTAATGGATTTCCAGTTCTACAGAATTCTGCCCGTAGATGACACGCGCTTTCATATGTCTGTAGGTTATTACCACATACGGGTTCTTTGTGTGCTAATGAACAATCTGTGCTGCAAACGATACAGTGAGGCAGACCATTCTGATCTTCAACACAAAAACGTCCTCCCGGACATTTGACGAATTGACATGAATCTAAAATGAAAATGTTTCAGAATAAAAAAAAATGAGGTATACGTTTTGCTGCACATCTGCCTTTTTTCAAATAATTAATTACGTACATTGAATTTATGTTTAAGTTCTGTTTTACAAATACATAATATATTAATTTGGAGAGAAACATTTTCTGATCAATAAATAGACGCTGAAGAAAAGAGCCATCTACATCATTACAAGCAAATAAGTTGTGGTCCGACATTGAAAATCATTAGAACTGAGGACAGGAAGATCTGGACTCTTTACTAGACTTGAATGATTGTATTAACTATATGTGTGTGAATTTATCTTTATATTGTGTACTTGTCACATTTGACTGTTTGAAGTTTATATGGCAATACACATATGAGTTGAGTATTTAAATATTAAGCTGTTCGGATCCTGCAATTTGTAATATGTGAATATTCTTCTCGGGAGATGTTCATTCTGTCCCACTGGAGGAACTTTGTTAGTGGTCGTCTTAGGACAGATCTTGGCGTGTTTTTTTTTTTGTAATTTAGGGAAATTGATATTCATGACGGATCTTTGGTAATTTCTGTTCAATTTATTTACAACAGTTGTTTTTATACTAAAGATGGTTTAGGGACGACCATTTTATTTTATGTGTGTAATGGGGGAGTAGAATTGCTTGCCTTTTTAGGACATATAATAATATAATCTTGCCAAAGGCAGGATGTAAATGAATATTCTGTCTAACACAATGCAGGATGCAATTGTGTACATAAGTAAAAAAAATAAATCTGCCTAACAACAGGTAAAAATGAATATTTCGTTCGCAACCCCCAAGTCACCCAGAAAATCAAATGGCCGTCTCCGTAAAATTATTGGTATTATGTAGGAACATGTCAATATTTGAAGATCTTAAGTTGGCCTCTGAATGTCAAGTTTATGTGTGTCGTTTTATTAAAATGTACGTTAATAAGCGGTTACAGAAACCCTAAGGGAGTTAACTCTTTAAAAATCAAATGAACGTTGTAATCAAGCTTCTCAATGATCAAAATTAGTGTTTATCAAACTGCTATATATCTAATGATATTATTCCTGTAAATTGTGTTGTTCAAATTTCTTAATATTTTTATATTTTTGTCAACAGGTCAAAGTAATTATTTTGACTAGAGTATTGTAGCTATATACAAATTCAGCATGTCTGCTGTTAAATTGCTTTAATGTGACCTTGACCTACCTTTGCACTTTCCATAATAATCAATTTTTATATCTGTATTATACCGACAGTTGTATCTTAAAAGGTGACAACGACTCTTGTATTTTGTCATATCAGTCCCACATACGGGTCCTTTGCTTCTCTCAATACTACTGCATTTTGGTTTGCATACACATTTTGGAATTCCATTTTTCATACGACACTTCTTATCTTTTGGACATATAACGTCTTTACAGCTGTCTAGGAAAATACATACTTGTCAAAGTTTCTTTAAATTACATATTATATAAATTTTTCCAGTACATTTCTTATTTTGCATAAGCATAAACTCATGTCCCACAAAAAAATTACTTGCCAGTGCGTACCCGTTTCATTGGAGGTATTTGGTTTATAAACATTAATTGCTGGATCCTGTAATTCAGTGATTGTCGTTTGTTGTATATCAATTTTGTTTTTCGTTTATTGTTTTGTACATATGTCACTTCGGTGCCTTTTAAAGCTTGCTATGCGATATGGGTTTGCTCATTGTTGAAGGCCGTGTGGTGACCTATAGTTGCTAACCTTTAACGTCATTAGGTCTCTGGTGGATAGTTGTCTCATTTGTAATCTTACCACATCTTCTTATTTTTATATAGCAAAGAAATGAGAAATGACCAAAAATATTAAATAACCCACTTGGTAAATAACAACTGAAGTGGACGTACATTACGCAATAACAAATGAAGTGGACGAATATTACACTAATACAAAAGGAGTGGACGCATATTACTCAAATATGTTGATACCCCTCGAAAGTATTAATCTAACTAATAGACGTTTTTATTTCTGCAGTTATAATATCTTATATCTGGAAGACACGTGTATCTAAGAAACTGTAACGTCTCCACCCATGTAAAAGAACATAAATATTGTAATTATATTTTGTTTACTTGCTTTGGCCATCTGCATTGAAGATGTTTTAACTACTATCGACCATGTTCTGAATCTGTTAAATATTCGAGTTTTATTTTTTCTAAAGTAAGAACCATATGTTTTTACTTTTGCTCGCTTTTACTTAGTAATATATCGTTTTAACTTTTAGACACTAATGGTCAATGGGTATAGAAATAAGGTCAACTGGAATTCTCCCATCTTAAGAAAGACAAATATCGAGGACGCGTAGGTTCGACTGTGCGAGATGTATAAATACGCTTGCACAATTGATAAAAATGGAGACCTCAACTCGGATACCCAGTCCCAGGAGAGTACTACGTTCTCTGAACGTAAAAAATCTTTGCATGAACATTTCGAAGAATCCGCTATAATTAAACTTTTACCACTATCTTTAAATCTTTTTTTAGTGACGTTAAATAAAGTATACATTGCTGTGAAATTAAAAAAAAATGGTAAAATTAATTTAATCTACTAAAAATCTTGGCAAAATCGGCTTCCTTATAAATTAATAGATAGTTGATTGATTGATTGTCGGTTGCTTAACGTCAATTAAATATTCGAATAGAGCTAACAACGTTTGGGTAAAAAAACACATTGCACAAAAGACTATTTAGACCAAAGGTTATACTCACTATGACATTTCCTACATACTGGTGCACCTTTTGATGATAGATACTCCCAGAAAAAGATTAGACCTGAGGAGGGATTTGATTGAGGCGACCACCCAACACTAGGTTCTGTTTGCAAAGAACAGCACTGTTCCTTAGTAACGTTGATCATTAACATCTTTCTACAATTACCCGTTTTAGATATTGACTGCCAACATATTCCTCCTGAAAAAGAGAAACAATATTTTGGTCTCTTCGAAAACATTATACTGCAATTAATCATTGTATTGTATCTGCCTTTAAGATGAATAAAGACATAAATTATCAGCAAATGCGTGTTTCTTTTAAAGAAATATGCCTCTACAACCTGTTTAAATGAAAACTTTGAAAAAAAAAAACTTCAGTACCCACTTGCGCTATGCATCTTCTATTTAACAAAACAAAGTGACTCTTAATCCTTTGTGTGTAGTCAGTGAGTGAGCCATTTAGAAAAATGTACCTTGGATTAAACATTCACAGTCGAAATTGTGTATTTATCCATCCCACATAGATTAAAAGGCGTTCACTTAGGAAAAGATTATTGCTGTACGGAAAAATTCGAAGTAGCCATATTGTTTTACAGCTGTTTCTTCTTGAAATGTGGGTCAATTTTATACAGGCAAATCAACCTTTTATACATATTTGTTAGAATCATTCATTCATTTCTTAACAACAGCAAACATTTCTTTGGAAATACAAGTTGTTACAAATTTGGTATATTCAGGACGAGAACAATTCACAATATATCCAGCAGTTAGGTTCCGTTGAGTTTGTTTATCGAGATGAAAAGCGAAAAATCTGGACTGCCACTGGAAAAAGAGGATTATGTTTGATAGTGGCAGAAATGTTGTCTGGTAAAAGGCCACCAACAGACCATAAAAGAATTCCTGAAAGTATTGACATTATTTTTAAAGCACAAATAGCTTGGCGCTCTTACTACACGGTGCATCGGATTTAACATATCCATTTTGACTGGACGTGACTGCGTATTTATACATCCCGCACAGCCAAACAATTATATATGTTGAATATTGCCCTTTTATATATTCTAACACTCTCACGCCGAAGACTGCACTACTAATTGGATTTCACATAGCAGCAACAAAATATAGTGCAAGAAAACCATTATTAATGCGACGCCCATAAAAAATAAGTCAAAAAATCAAAATGTAAGAAAAAAAATATGACAATAGTATTTTAAAGTTTTAAGTATAGGGAAATATACCAATTCCCTAAAAAAACCGATGCAAATATTTGACACCAGTAAAACTGTAGCCTACTATATATTTTGTCAATAACCATACTCGACCAAATTAATCTAGTAAAAGGAACAACCGGATACAGGAATTGTATTTAGGAAACTTGTTTGCTTTGTTAACAACATATCATTATATGCCCGATTGAAATATCCTTTTAATCTAGAAGCGGATTCATACTTCTATAGAAAGTACCTATTTGTGTTCGAAATATTTCTTTAGTGAATATTTTGAAAAAAATTTTATTTCGGAGAAAGGGAAATTTTTAGGATTTAGTAAGAATAAATTATATCAGAAGAAAGTTCGATTATTTAAAAGAAGATTCAATCTTGGTATTTAAATATACTGTATTATGATTGAAAATAAACATAAATAATGACGTTTGATTCCTTATGAAGCTTACCCATTAAGTAGATTGGTAGCAGTTAAAATACTAATATACTGTATAAGAGAGCGCAGTATGTCTCCCTCTGAACATCGAAACAAAAGTAAATATTATCAATCAAAACTCTATGTTTTTAATCAATTATTTTCGTGTCCAATTACTGTAATTATTGTAAGTTCGTAGACTTAAAAAAAAACAGATTTGTAACGACTTCAACAAATATACTGACATCTAATTTTATCTGGAGACCGTATTTAAAAAAAAACAATAACTTCTGTTTGCTTTAACATCAATTGCTCAGTTCGAAAAAGAATATATTCATTTGTAACATTCAAGAGAAAAATTATCTATATCAGGTAATCGTCTAATTCAAACAAGATTATCTAAAAAAAAAACTACTAAAAACAACTTAGATCCCCTTTCAAACAATTTTCAAATTCTTTTCTCTAACGGGTCTTTCAAGTTTTTTTTCACATTTGTAATCTTCAAGTAAAACGTTTTTAATGTTAGACTAGTTTTCAGATGTCTTGAGTTTTAATAGTTACAATGGGTCAGTGTCGAAAAGGGCTATCATCTGGTTCGTTCGTAATATCTTCATATTCTAAACCTTTTCTCTGAAGAATGAAATCTTAGTTTTCATTGTCGTATGAATATTCCACTCGAAAAGAAGAAAGCAAATAAATATACATTTTGCGTAACTTGTGTAACTTGTGATAAGAAAAGTCACAATAGTTATTACAATTTAAAGTTTCAGAATAATACATATGAAATTCGAATATGAGGTGTTTGCAAAATTCAAAAAAATGAAGAAAAAAAATAAATAAAAGAGATAAAGTAAAAGCTAACGAATATCCCCATAAAATGTGTGTGTGTGTGTGTTTTTTTTTTTATCAAGAATGGAATTTCTTAATATTGTAAAAGTGTAAACCGTAAAAATGTAATCAACTTGTTCTTTGTGTAAAAATAGCAGGAGTCAAGGTACGCTTGCTACATGTATCGTAGGAAAGTCATGACAGAAAAATATATTTTCATTAAAATTTTCGTACAACGATTTGAAATAGAAAGGGAAATTATTCCTATCTACTCCAACAGTAAGCCTGTTGACATGAGAACAGCGTGAGAACATTTCAAAACCAAAAGGGAATGAAAATTTAAGAAATTGTTCGAAATGTTGAAAAATATGTATGAAGAAACCGAAATCCTGGACTACTGGATGTACTAAGCTCTAAATTTGAACCTTATATTTTAAATTTCAAGACCATTTTCGACTCATCTGGTCAATTATATAACAGATATGGTGACAGAGGCTTTCGGATAAATAGGAACAAAATAGACTTATTAATTCTAAATATAATAGCAATCGTAAAACAAGTCAATTATTTCATTGCTGAATCCTGTTTAACGTGATATGAATCCAACAGGAAAGTATATAACAGTTGTGTTCATATACACGCAGATACACAGACGTAAATGTTCTTGGTCTATCATGCTATCAATATTCAGACTCTGTCTCTAGTCGTCACTAGACTACTTCAATCTGTTAATGTTTGTCCCAAGCCATTATATTCGTCATCGAAGTCCAAAGGTATGATTCACGTTTCAATCAGGTAAAATATATGTTTGATTTCTATAGATATCGATACCATCCATATCTTTTTCGGAATCTACTCATTTAATTAAATTTAGAAACAAATGTGACGTAAATTAATAAGAATAAACAAAAAAGTTAGCAAATCGTGCACGATTCATCTTTATCTTTTAGATTATTTTATTTTGTCCGGAAATGTTCGTATGCATGCACTAGCTTATAAATTACCATCTATTCGATCTATTTTGCTTTAATCTGAAAATTATTTTAGTATTAAAAATCATCTGTTGTATGTGGATAACCACGATTACACATAAAAACCAAAGATTATTCTGTATGGTCTGAATGGGGGGTCTTTCTTTTCTGTTTTTATGCCATTTTTTGTCTATTCTTTATATTTTTGCCTTTTTTTTCTCTATTCATTATATTTGAGCACCCCATTATTCGCTATTTAAAAAAATCTTGGGATATTTTTCTTTATTCTTTATATTTTTGGCCCATTTTTCTGTAGACTTTGACCCACTACTCTCTATTCCCGTAAATCCCCATCCAGACCCTCATTAAGTCAAAATAACCCGTATTATTGTCTCACTTAATCATAAATTATATCCCCCACACCCAATAAGATCAATGATAAAAACGGATAAAGAGATGTAAACTATGATATGTCTTTTATTAATCGTTATTAATAACTTGGTCTCATCGACGATATCTATAACCAACTCACATAACCTGCAGTATATCATCATTTATAAAAATATACTTTCTGTAGATATGATGTCATCCGATAATATTTCTCAAAGTGATAAAAAATACAAAGTGATATAAACTTCAAATTTTTGTTTAGATATATTAGAATAGAACAAAAAAATGAATAATTGATTTATTTATAATACTTCAATTTTTACTTGATTTTTCGTAGGAGGGGATATCTCTTCAACGTAATTATTATTAATGCGTACCATTTTTTTTCTCCAAACCTTTGCCATTTTCATATATAATTAAACATTGAATTGGGTTGACTTCAAGTTCTAAATTGGATATTAAGATATTATTGTGTAAAATAAGAACGGCTCTTATCAGGGATCATATAAAGGCATTACCTGCATTACATGCAAAAAAAACGACTTCCTTCACGCTAACATCGCTGACCCCTGATTGTCAGTTTGACATCGCCAGACTTACTAAATACAATCTTTATTCATATCTGACGGTAATCATAAAATGATTAATAGCTGCACATTTTAATGCATTTGTTCGGTGCATCGACCTCTTGTCTAGAATATCTCGGGTGAGACAGTAAATACCCGTATTAATTAAACACACGATTTCAAGTAGGTTAGGTGGGCCTGATACTAACCTACTGTAAAAACTTTGCATAGCCACAGAGACAAGCACAGTCAGCGTAACTTTAACACTTTAATCACCTCGTATCAGACCCTTTTACGATAAATACCGGAAATTCGTAGGTGACATGAACACAAATTTTGTTGAATTTCATAACTTTGAGATGAGTAAATTTTGTGGTTGCTTCTAAAATTATCAAAATTGAATACAGTCGTGTTCAACAAAGACATTTAAAATCGGAAATTACGACATTTCATTTTTTTCATGAGCAATACTATTGGTAAGGGCTGTCTTATTCGATAGTTCTGCACTTTACCGGCCAGTTTCAAGCCAATTTACGTATATGATTTTGCTTGTCACTGTATATGTCCATCACGGATTTAGAAATTACACCAAGTTTATCATATTGATAGATACCCTCGCCTCTAGGAGCGTCCTTTTGGTAGTAATTTCCCCACCCATCAGTCCGCTCGATCAAACAATCAAACATTCATTCGCGTTTTGCCGGTCCCTATAATGGTATTTCGACTGCAGCTAGAACACGTCCTGTTGTCTTTATCTACCAAATATAGTAACAAAGAAATATTTTGTTCAATGTCGATTTCATGTC